GAGGCCTCTTCCGGGTAATCGTTCCTTGGATGAGCTTCAGCTGAATCAGAATTAAATACAGTTTAGTTTAACTTCTTTCTTGACTTTCGGTTTCTCAGTCGCAGAATACAATTAATGGATCAATAATACAATTCATACTAATGGATCAGGAGAAAAGGGATCATTGTACTATCAAATGGAAAAAGCCATTCAAAGGTATTGACGAAGCAAGAGTGGAGATAAGCGTACCGTTTGAATCATCAGAGTCATAGTCTGACTCATCAGATCCATCACAGAACTCTTCTTCCTCCTCGACTTTGACACTGAGAAAAAAAAGCCCATGAACCCAAATTAGCAGGCGACACAAGAGACAAAGTCGGAAAAAAGTGAAGAGTTCAAAGAGAACAAAAAAAATACGCACAGAGGAAACTGGTGCTTAGAACTGTCTTCACTGATATCCATGTCTTCGTTTACAGCATAATAATCATAAACATATTCTTCGGTATGACTAGAATGGATATCAGCTTCAATCTCTTCAGCTGCTGTTGGAATACACTCTCTGAGGAGAGGCAAGAAACTAGCCAGCATTTTCTGGTCCTCCAAGGATGTAGACCTAGAGGAAGAGAGAAAAAGCATGTTGAATTACTTTTTATTCAACCACAGCTAAACTATTTCTGACTCTGAGATCGAAAAGACAAAAGCATATTACTAGAGAGCTTACTCTGGTGCATTCTCTGGTCTTTCTTCAGCATCAACACGGATAACATCATATAAATTACACCTTTCATGAAGTTCTTTATCACGGATACCCTCCTTCTTTCCCTTCCTACTCCACCATATTTGCTCAAAACGAGCATTATCTGCAGCAATCTAACAGATAGTGGAACTTTTTTATTAATTGATTACACAAGTCTCAAATTAGGTATGTAAAACGCTAGTGGGTCTTCTCCAAAGATGTTAATCTCAGAGAAACTGTATTAAATTCATGACCAAGAGCTAGATACCTGTTGTTGTTGCACAGCTTTGGTCAGGCGCTGTTCCTTTCTCTGCAGACCCCAAAAACAAAGCAATTTAAGCTATCATTCGAGTTGCAGTCAAGAGAGGGAAGGATCTCGAATTAGGACTAAAACAAAATGAAACAACATACATTGTCTTTCTTGAAAGCAATTTTGCGCTCCTCAGACTTTCCTTTACTGCAACTGTGCTCTTTACGATCAGGCTCCTGCAGAACACACAATAATGACTATCAAAACATACAGACAAAAACAACAACATGCAGGGATTATAATTTGACCAGAATCACTCACAAATAAAGAGTGGATAACGTCAACTGTGGTTTCAGTGTCCGTGACTGTCTCCAAGTGCCGAACTAGCACCTTCTTGGGCTTCAACACCTCTGCCACAAAGGAACATGTATCCTCATGAACAACATGCATCTTTCACCGAGTCCAAACCATCATCATACAAGCACAAAAGGCCTGAGATGATTATACAATTACCTTTCTCTTCTGATTTGGAAATAGATAGCTTTGAAAAGTCCAGATACGGCCGTTTGAATGGTCTTTCGTTTATCTCCAACCCTAATTGCAATAAAAATTTCAGTTTTCCTCCTTCCACAGAATAAATACAGAGCAGAGAGAGAATGAGAGAAGAAACTTACAGAAAGCATCGAGAGGAGACTGTCCCACTTTACGTTTAACCCTAACAATCACAGGCTTCTCTCCTACCTCCTTCTGAATCGAAGAGCTTTCACCAACGGCAGCCATGACGAAACCGACGCTAATTCGAGAAATTCCTCAAGCCACTGTGAGTTTCCTTCTAAAACAGAAAAACAAAAACATCCAACCCAATTTCTCACCTCAAGAACAAGTGGCCAGGATCGTCGGAGTCAGGGTTCTAGTCGCCGGAGACGAAGCGGGAAGGAGAAATCGAGAAATCGCACAGAATGGATGTTGCGATGTCGATCAAACGCTAAACGCCTAAACAGACCAAACCCTAAAATTAATTTTGGGGTTTTAATGTTATTTAACCGATCGGGTGATTCGGCACTCGGTTAAGAAACCGGGCCGAACCGAATTTTGTTAAAAAGTGTCCGATTCGAATTAGGATACCCGAACACGACCCTAGTCGCGAGTATTCACGAGTCCAGTTATTGGGCTTAATGGGCCCGTAAAATCATATGTATATTTTAGGGGGAAGATCATATGAAATGCCGAATTTGTCTCACACCAAATTGTTTTCTTGTATTCGACTAGATATTTTTATCAATAGTTTTGGTTATTCTAGTTGAATTTTCTATGTTATAAAAATCCTCCGAATTATTAATTAAAAAACCCACGGAGATTTA